ATGACACCAGCGCCGCAGTCTTTGGTTGACTACGTGGATGAGGTAGCCTTACGGAAACCCATGTTGGGGTTTGTCAGGCAGTTGTGAAGGAGGTTGCAGACAGCAAATTAATGCTTCTGTAAGGTAAGGCACAGCCTAGAATCTGGAGGCAAAGAAACGCCCTAAAGCCTCTCCCCAGCTGTGGCTCCTGAGAGCTGCAGCAAAGCATCTAGCCCAGTGCTTCTCAAAGTGGTGGTCTGTGGACTGGTGTCGGTCTGCGAGCTACCGGTCACCGGTCTGCAGCAAGTTGCCAGGAAAGAAAGAAATATATTCGCCAGTCTGCAGCGAGTTGCCAGGAAAGAAAAATATATTTTCAGAAGCATAACATTGATATGGCATAGTGCCACAGTTTGTACGTTCCAACACTCCAGGTGACATCACGTCGTGCGAGGTGAGGAAAGAGAAAGAAACAGCCGGTCGCACATTTTGTGTAGCTCTGTTACACACAGTTGCTGCCACCGGCTGAACTGGGCACCAGTCCCTGGCCCACTGGAAAAAAAATTGCTAGTCCACCACATCAGATAGTTTGAGAAGCACTGATCTACCCAATAGCATGGGCAAGAGTCACTGACTCAGATTCTTAACATGCATCAGCCCGGAGTTGGTGATGAAGTGGTCAACAGGGCTCTCCTCAGTACATGGGAAATCTACTGTTAAGCTTTGTGTATGCACTGTGAAACTATGTGAATTTGACTACTTGGTGAGCCCATGATCCCATCTGGTGTGTTGTAGATATAGTGCTGCACAAGGGGATAGAATAGACTTACTTACTGTTCTCATCTTCCTGTCCTGGGTTGGGAACAAGCCTACAGTTGTCAGGGCCTGGGGGAATGAGGTCTGGAATTCCATCATTATCATCGTCATCATCACATTCATCGCCTAGCCCATCCTTATCTGTGTCCAGCTGAGAGCTGTTAATGACTGTGGGGCAGTTGTCTGTGCTGTCCTGGTGTCCATCTCCATCACTATAAAAAAACCCACAACCTATTTATGAGTTCCTGCCTCCAGACTTACAAACAGCACCAACACTATTTTTTAATGCAGAGTACTTCTTGTGCCCATCTGATCAGACCTGGTGGCACCACAAGAAAAAAAAAAGTAGTAATTTATCACTAGGGCTTTGGGAGAAAGTATCCTGGACAGTGAAATCTGTTTATTTAAGCTGTTTATAGTGAAGATCTACTTTGCAAGGAGAGAAGACTGTTTTTTGCCTCGTTTCTCCTCGCTAAGTGTTAGTACACCTGTGCAGCAATACTGCTTTTGACAAAACCATGCTATGTCCAGACAGCACACCTCACAGTCATCATGTCAGTGCAGCTGGCAGACTTATATGTTGCTCAGCACTGATGTGAAAAAGGTTTTGGGGAAATGTCTGAGGCCTGAAGCAGCAGAATCCTGTGACTGGAGCAGGGAAATCACAGTAAGCTGCACTGGTTCAGTCAGATTTGATCTGAAGACTTTGTGTTTTCCACTAGAACCGGAACCATCTTTTGTAATCCATGCCAGCACCACACCTGTGTCTGCTGTTGTGTGAAGCAGATGTGAGGTGCTTTACGTATTATGCCTTTGGAGGGCAGGGGGCTAATTGTTACATTGCCAGAAAAAGAAAAGTAAAATATAGTGCTGCAAACCTGTTTTTCCTGGAATCACTCACAACAGAGTAAAAAAATGAGCATAGCTTGTACTGTGACTTGCTTTCAGGAGTAAAGAAACAAATTTCCCCAGCACAAATGGAGTTGCTGCTCTGCCCAGCATAAGCAAAGGCTGAAGAAAAACCTACCCACCAGATTCTTGTAAAATGAAGGGCATTTGTTTAGGGTCATTTCTGCCTTTTACTGTGAAATTATTTCTGTCAGAGTGAAGTAATCCACTGAGAAAAACACAGAACACTTCACCATAAAACTGTTCCTTTGTTTTGATTTGTGTAATTTTAACAAGTTCTGAGTAGGGTGTAATTTCTATTTCTATGGGCAGACAATGGGAGCAGTAGACCCTAAATCAGGAAAAATCTTCCCTTGCTTCCCCTCTCATTCTCCTTTCCCCCACCTGTCACTGTCCTTGGTTGTTCCAGGGATGGGGGGAGCTCCAGAGCTGCTCCTACCCCACTGCAGGTGGGCTGCACAGGAAGCCAGGCTCAGCTGGAGACAGCAGAGTGGCAGCGGTGGTGGACAGGTTACCACTCTCTAAGCCTGCTCCCTGGCTGGTGGGGAACACTTGTGGGGGCTGGCCAGAGAGGGGGAACTCATCTACTGCCACTGCTGCTGCAGTGCCAAGCTGATCCTGGCTCCCTGAGCAGCCCAGCTGGAGCAGGG